GGGACACTGAGTGGCCAGATTATTATGACCACCTGACGTTTGTAGGCAAATTAGCCGTACACTGCATCGTATGGGTTATGGCTTGCAGGGGGGTTAGTGAGGGGCAACCAAAGGACCAAGCAGCAGGCTGCATGGGGCGACCAGGCCCATAGGAGGGGCAGGTGGGGGAGACCAAGCTGGCATGGGGGGGCAATTGGGGTGACCAGGCCGGCAAGGAGGGCAGTTGGGGGTGACCAGGCCAACAGGGGGGCAGTTAAAGGTGATCAGAGACAGGTGAGCAGTTAGGAGCCAGGGGTCCCAGACTGTGAGAGGGATGTCTGACTGCTGGTTTAGGCCCGATCTGGCCTAAACCAGCAGTCAGACATCCCCCAAGGGGTCCTGGATTGGAGAGGGTGCAGGCTGGGCTGAGGGGAACCCGCCCCCCCCGCCCCCCGCATGAATTTCATGCACTGGGCCTCTAGTAAGAAAATAAATAAGAGAAATAAGACATAGTTCTTGCCCTTAAGAAACTCACAGTCAAGTGAAGGAAAAAGATACTTAACCAAATTGTTACAAACACTATGGTAAATGGAGTGGTAGAGATGAGCATAGAGAAAATATGCCTTATTCAATCTGGTGCTCAGAGAGGAATCATGGGAATGCATTTCCAGGGGGAGCTGATGCCTATGCTTAGTCTTGTAGAATAAGGAAAAGAAGATCAGGGTGCAGTGGAAGAATATTCCAGATACAGCAAAGGTACAGGTGAAAAATAGTGTGGATGGATGCTGCTGGAGCATAGAGGACAAGGTAAGGTAAAGCAGGGCTCTTCTATCCATGTGGAGGAGCATCAGCTCTATCCTGGGGGTGATGTGGATTCAGTGAGGAATGGGGTTCTAATGTGTCCTTCAGTCTTTTTTCTTCTGTCTCCTGCTTGAAGCTCTCTCTCTTAGTTCCTCAAAAGGCAACTGCCTGATTGTTGTTTGGTCATTAAACATAACGCCTTACAAAAGCATTTTACACAGATAGCAGATCTCAGTTCTGGCAGATAGTAGTGAATCCGGCTGCTGAAAAGACATCATTGAGGTTGGTCTGTAGCATTGGACTTGCTGATGCTTTTTTAGCTTTTCTATATTGTTGAAAATTACCCCATTTCCACTTAATTATTTAAAACAGCAATGTCCAAAGGGACAGCAAAGAAAGCCAATGATGGCTTGTGGGCTCAGAGCTCCAGGAGAACACTGGTTCTTTGAAATAGCCGTCTAGAAGCTTGGAAAGCATCTGAATGTTGTTGAAGCTTGGAAAGACCTTGGTGGTGTGGGCCACTTGACTGAGTCAGTGAAACTCACTAATGATCCTTCTGAGGACAGAGAGCCCACACAAGATTACCACCCAATTCTAGTTACAAAACCCAAGATTTCAGCCTCCCCAGGAAGCCTAAAGAAAGGCTCTAACTCCAATGATCAGACAATACTGTAGCCAGGGATGAACTGATATGTGAAAAAGGGGAAAAAAAAGTCAAGAAAAACCATCATGGATTAGGAAACAAAGGAGACATGTGAACTACTTTGGCAACAAGTTCCTGACCAAGTTAAACGTCAACACTGGATTCCAGGTAGCTCTACTTTGGCAACAAGTTCCTGACCAAGTTAAACGTCATCACCAGTGTAGCATCCACCATTCTATGTAGATAAATTCAAATATGAGGTAGAGGTCACCTTTGGTTTCTTGGTTGTTTTATTCCTGAATAAACACACAAAACACAAAATAATGGCTTGAGGAATAATCAGCAATCAGATTAAGAACTATTGCCAGTCTACAAGCATGGAAACCATGCTTATTTGCAAAGGTGTGGTTTTGTAAAGTTATGTCACCAGAATGTCCCACTTGGGCCAACTGTTCCAAATTAGGGATCCATAAAAACCTCAAAGAACTGAACAGTTTGTATCCTGGGTTAACACTTGGTCTTCCCTCATTTCCCATCTAGTCCACACAGATCTAATGCCAAATTTGTTCCAACATAGCCCAAGGTGTCAACCTACATACTACACACAGAGACTCAGAGCCGAATGTCTGTGGTGGGCTGCTAGTGAAAATCAAGTTTGAAATTAGACATGATAATTGAGAGGTACAGGGTATCCTTTAGAAATTAGATAAAAGTTTAATACAGCTAAGATTGTGTAAGACAATCACGAAAGGTGAGCGCTTCAGCCGAAACTGTGGGACCATCCTCTGTGAGTAGCTTTTTGTAAGCAAAACACCTGCTATAAATTGAATGTGGGACAAGCCTTAAAATGTGGTTTCTTTTTAACCTATTAAAACCACTATTAAATTTAATTCAAATGTTGTAGATCTGCATTAAAATGGTCAGATTTCTAAGTGGCTGGAAGAACTGAGAGTTGAAAGTCCTCTGGGGGGTCTTTAGGTTTCTAATCCTGTCTCTGTCCCCTCCTTCACCCAATTGCTGCTCTCTCCTCTGCAAAAGCCCCTTTCAGTCCCTAGCAAATTAGATTTTGGTAAGCCCAGTATAATTTCCATCCTGTTTCCATTAGAAGCCAGGTGGTGCTCACAGTGATTCACTTGGTTGCCCTGCCCAGAAAGGACCAAAGTCCAGAACATCAGCTGCCAACAATTCTTGTTGAGCTTGACTGAAAGATTGATCAAAAGGGGAAGTGAGTTCTGCTTGGTTCCCAAAAGACATTAGAATGGAAAAAACACAGCCACCATGTCTTTTTTGGTGGAGACGACAATTTAAACAAAGAGATAACATTGGACCCAGAGAGACTTTCAGCCCCAAACCTATGGATCCATTTTATGAAGGTTTGAGTTTTAGAAAAAGAGGTGGAGAGGTGGAATTTCCAGACCCAGCTCTGCTTCCAACCTTAGGACCTCGGTTTCCTTACCCGAAGCATGGTAGGGTGATGTAATGGTCTCTGAGTTTTCTTTCACCTTGAAAAGCTCATGACAAAGAATCACATATGGCCACCCTGGATGGCAATGTTGCTACTGTGTGTTTTCTTTAAACTGAGTTTCAAATCCATTCAATATGAAATAGATTAGTAATGGAAACCAGAAACTCTGAGGAGGCCACCCTCATACATAGGGAATTTACTGACTTGCCTTGTGTATTTGTGTTTATTTCTGCTGACTCCTATGTGGGGGTGGATTCTAGAGAAGTAACATTTATATGAATCCAAGTGGAGAGACAAGTTTTCTCCCTCATCTCCCCTTCCCAAACAATCCAGCTTAGTTCATCATCTTGTGTTGACATTACTTATGAATGCTAATGAGCTCATAAATGCTAATTAATAACTCCATGTGCTTCTATATTTACTGGCAAATATAAGGATCCAGGTGCAGTGTAGACCTGGCCCCAAACAGAGTACATATCTCCACTTCTGAGCTGAGAACATGGGGGGGATGACTCTTGCCGTACTGCCAATGTTGGGGGCCTTCCCCACCTCTTAATAAGTGCAAGAGCTAGAATTAAACTCATAAAAGCACCGTCCTCTGATTTCCCATGGAGAAAATAAATCGTACTGCCAATGTTGGGGGCCTTCCCCACCTCTTAATACATGCAAGAGCTAGAATTAAACTTATGAAAGCACCATCCTCTGATTTCCCACAGAGAAAATAAATCATAGTCAAACCCAGTCCATAGCAACATTGGGTTGGACTCCCAATCTTTGAGGAGACATCAAAGTTCAGTGGTAGTGTGGGAACCCTCCGGCCCGGTGTGGAGCCTTTGTTCTTTTATGGGTGTCGCTGTCTCTGTCTCCTCCCCAGGGCGATGAGCAGTGTCAGGCAGGAGCTCAGCCTGCCAGAAGCCAGGCCTCCTTAGATACGTGCTGCTTTGACTCTGCTGATTGAATGTGTGCTTTGCTTTGGTAGACCCTGAACTTTCCTCAGCAAAGAAAATGAGGTCTGACCTTGGTTCTGATAATCATGTTACCTGGAACTTATCAAACACTTACCACGCACCAGGCTTTAGCACCGAATGAATGCCCCTCGACTATACGATTGTGTATAAACACCTGTGAGCATTTGGTATCCTGAGACAGAAGGGTATATATCTTGCCAAGGTCAATAAGTAAGTAGCAAAGCTGAGATTTGAACGCAGTTGCCTTCCCGCATGAAGCTCTCGCTACACTGCCCCCTTGGTGCAGCTCCAGGGGCTACTGCAGATTCCAGTGCTAGGGGGGTCCTGCTCAGGTGGCTCTGTGATGGCGTGATGGCAGCAGCCTGCTCTCTAGGGGTCCGCCATCCCCTTCTTTTACAAGATCAGTTTCCTCCCAGCCTGGAGAGTTGGGCTGGGACCCAGTTCCTTGGTTGGCTGCAATCGCCTCTGAGCCCCGGAACCCCTCCTGACGGAAATCACCCTTTCCCCACCAGTGCTCTCCCTTCTTCTTCCTTCTCTCCTCTCAGGGCCCAACTCCATCCCATAGTAGCCGTGGCCTGGCCCTATTTTTAAAGTGACTGCAAAATCAACTGAGGATCACCCCTAGGAGAGAGCTGCAGTTGCAGGGGAGCCCAGCTCGGGGTGCACACTCACATCCTTCATTAGATCCAGGCTGGGGAGCAGCACCAGCTATTGCTTTCAGATGGGCTTCCCAGGAGTGGAGGAACTTTTCTTTGTGAAGAAAGAGAGAGACTTTATAAACCTTGTATTCTTTTCAAAGAGGCCTTATGGGTGGCAAGGCACAGCCTCGAGGAGGAAGCGGGAGAGGCAGCAAAGAGTTGCTAACTATAAGCCTGTGCAACATGCTTTCTAAGGGTGGGCTGAGGGAGGCAGGAGGGGAGATGCCCTCAGCCCCTACCTCCTTGGGCATGATGAGCCATGGGCGGTTGGCACCTCTGCTGCTGTGCTCTTGGGCAGCCCAGCTCCCTCCATCCCTCCGTTGCTGCTCCTTGCTCTGGGTGGTGCTGGTGGAGAAGGGCCCAGAGCTGCGTCTGCCAGCCCATCAAATGCCAGCAGCTGCACAATCCTGGGATAATTGCTCATATCTGTTTCTTCTCTTCTCCAGGCCTCGAAGAGTGTTCCAGGAACGAACTTTCCACAGTATGATGACCTGCAAAAGCAGCCCTTCCATTTACATTTCAAACTCTAAGTCAGCCGTGTCAAAGTTTGAACCGGGCTGGGGAGGAGGATAATGGGTCAAATGCAATTAGCAGCCCAGAGAGCTGCGCATTGCAGTCTGATTTATTTTTTTGCCCATCAGATTCCAAGAATCCTAGTGCTTAAAAGCAAAGAAACAATCACTCTATTGTTCTGCAATAAAGCCCAGTTAATTCGAAAATCAATTGCCCCACCAGGTGGGGCACACCCTGGCCCCAAAACAGATGGGGTCAAAAACTCCCCCAAAACGCAGTCTTGTTAAATTAAAAACTTGATCCAGGAGTGGAACAAATAGGAGCCCTGAATGGAACAGGTCCACTCAGGCGAATTCTTTCTTCTCCCACTCCTTTTAAAGAAAAGAAAACCCACCATTCCACTCTCATCAGTGCTCGCATCTCTGTAGAAGCGCAGGCGTCCACCCTTTGCAGTACAGTGTGTTACTTTAATTAGTCTGAAAATTAAAGGGCAACTCTGGGCCAATGCGAAAGATGATGAAAATACATGTGCATCCCATGCAATCCTCTCATTTAATGAACAGTCTTGTAAACTATATGGCTCACTTTAAGGCGGTCTCGAGGTATAACAAGTCCATTTAAATATCCACTTAATACTTAACAGGATGTGAGGGACACAGTATAGCATACGGTCCCTTCTCAAGTTTCACTGTCTGAAATGTTTCAAAGCTGACCCAAGTCAACCCGAAAAATGTTTAACACCCTGGGCTTGAACACAAGAAACTCTGTGATGAACAGACATTCAATTACATTTTTTAGAAGTGAGAAGCATTTTTGTAAAATAGCGACTCTGGAAACTAATTGGCAGCCGCGAAACTTGTGAGCGAAGGCCAAATCTTGTGGGGAACTTTTACTACAGTAACACGACTCAAAGAAAATGGGAATAAAGGGCATCTTTGTTTCCCAGTCAAATTAGCTGATTAAGAAATAAAACATCTTAACGTGTTTTTAAATGTAGAATTAATTATTTATGTGAAAAAATTAAAGGCACATTATATGAATCCTACCCTGTGCATGAATTGAATGGGGCAGAAATTGTAATCCGTGTGGATCCGCGTCTTGGGTCATTAAGCAAAACTAAATATTAAGAGCTCTGGTTATTGAAAAAAAAAATTGCATTCAGGTCACATGTTGTGCTTCCCATTTTGATTTTCAAAGTCCAGATTAGTTATGGTGCACATGAAAAATGTGATTCAGAACAAGAACACTGCTCTGTACAGGCTGAGTACTGAGAGTTGAATGGAAGGAGAAAACAGCCCTACAAAGAGCAAAGCCTACTCCTGGGAGAACACAGGCCTTTTGCTCTAAGGCACCCAGGGAAGGATTCACAGAAAGAATCGGAACAGGCCACTCTTTATTTTGCTAATGGGTGAGCATGGAACTCACGCAAACAAGAAAACCTAAGTTACTCCTTAGACTCAGGAAAGAAGTGGCCAGGTGACCTTTGACATCTCAGGCCCCCTTGTCTCAGCCGAAGACCTTCAGCCCTGACCTCTTAACATTCCAATATCCTGAAGCCAGGCCCTGCTCAAGCCAGGACTGCAAATTATCTCTGAGACCTGGATAAACATCTACTGGGCCACTGTTTTGCAAGGTGTGGTCTAAGGACCACCTGCATTAGAATTACCTGGGCCCTAGGAATCACTGGGCCAGATGGGGATGGGGTCCAGGGTTTTACCTTTTGAACACATTGACCAGACACTATAAGAATAGTAAAGTTTGAGACTCCCTGTACTAGTGTCCACTTAGAGATGACTAGAGTACATTTCACTAAATTTCTTTAATGGGTTCCCTTTAGTGAAAAGCATTTATTCAACTGTGGAAGCTTATCCACAAATCCTTCAGTAAACCCCCCCCCCAAAAAAAAAGTCCTCCCGTCCTTTTCTTCATTTCTCATGGCATCTCTTCACAGAGGGAGTATAGGAATGCTTTGTCCTTTAAAATAAGTTCAGCGAGTACTTGAAAAGTCATTTGGCAGGAGATGAGGGATGAGACAAAGGGGGAAGATTAATGACGAACAGAATCAGAGTCCTTGCTAAAATAAAAATGGATTCACACCCAACTTCTTGTGAAGGGTAAGACATATGGCAGCTCATGTGGGAAGCGAGCGTGCTCAGTAGAAAGAGGTCCTGCTGCAGAGCTGTGTGCTACGGGGTGCAGCTTTCTCAGCCAAAAGCAGAGCATCACGTGCTCCGGGGAGATGCACCGTCTCCCCGATGTGATGAGAGAGGCTGACTTTCTGAAATTCAATGCTGCCTGAACGGCTTTAATACTTTTAATAAGTTTCTCAAGATGATCAGGTTTGGGGTTTGCATCTTGGTTTTGTTCTTATCTTGGGGTGGCCTGACAGCCCATCATCTGCTGTAACTGTGAATGGAAGCCGTTGATAGATTAAGGTTCCTCATTTGTAAAATGGAAAACACCGTCCTCTATCATTTCTAAGAACTGTGAGGAGGAAAGTGCTGGCCACTAGAAATTGTGTCTAAGTTTTAGCTACAAACTACGGATGCATTATTCTTCTACATCTTCTTTTGGGCTTTTTAGAGTTTTTGCCAGGAAATGCCAAGACACACATGGAACTGTTTTGTTTTGTTTTTTAGGAGAGGGAAGAAGGGCAATCATTTGTACTTAGTCATGTTATGCACCAACCTTAAAGTAGCAAGGGCCCAATAGACTTCAGGATTCTATTTCTGGGATTCATTCAAAATTATAAACATATAGATATACAAAGGATATTTACAAATGTGGCTCTTGTTATGCGTACAGTAGCAGGGACACGAGTTCAGTTTTAGTCCATGGAAAACGACTGCTTAATAAGAGCTTTCCCAATCCCGAGTCCCCTTTCAGATAAGTTTCCACACTAAGTTTCATCGCCCTACTAGAATTTCCTTTGGAATGTTTGTGCTAAATTCCTTTCTCCCTGATTGAAGTATACAACACAAAATCTAGCTTCAGGACTTAAAAAAGTAATTCACCAAAATACACAGAGATGTAGAAAAACTTGGGAGAGGCAGTGGGCAGGAGGGAGGCAGAGGAGAGTTGGGGAAATGAATTAAACTCCCCAATAATTAAGAAGTGATTTACTTGGCACATTTAAAATTTGGAATGCTTGAACAGTAGGGCAGTGTATAACTTCATTATATGCCATGGGCAACCCTAGCAACTCAGTTTTGCTTCATGAAGCTTTCTTTTTCTTTTTCTTCTTTTGGTATTTCCTGACTTGGTATGTGCAGTTGTGAACTTAATTAACACACTAGTGATTCTGTACCCTCAGGGAAAAATGGTAAATTTTGTAAAATGTAAATATATATAATATAAAAAGAAAGTTCCTTTCCTTCCTGTTCCTCACAGTCTTTATTCCCTCTCTTGCACTCTGCATCAGGAAACCATGAAAGGCACATGAAGGTTTATAGAACCCAAGCCTTGGACCCCACTAAGGCACAATACCCAGGGATTCCTAAATCACTCTTGTATCTTATAGGCTAACTGCTTTTGTGTGAGAGAAGGCAGGGTTAATAGTAGCAAAAGTTAGCCCTTTAGATGATAGCATTATATCTTATGTGCCTTTTTGTATTATATTGCTCTCATTTGGAAGTAGCTTGTACAATTCCCTTTTGAATCAAGCCCTATAAATTTGATCAATATCATTATTTTCATGAGACAAATTTAAACCAATAAAGTTGTCTTGCTTCTTCCCTCTTCTCTTCCACCCACCCTCTTAAAAAAAAAAAGAAACAACAGGGAGAGTCACAGCTTTGGCATGTAGCTTGAGTGTGAAGCTCTGGTATGGAAACGTCTACGGAAAGATGACATTTATAGATGGGTACATATATATTTAATTTCTTGTGTGTGAGTGCATGAGTGTGTGTGTGTGTGTATATATTTCTGCTTCTGTTCACCAAGGATACGACATCATAATTAAGGGCATTTTATTTTATCCAATGAAGAGTTTTTTCAGTTCTCTTTAATTGGTAATTTAATTACAGAGCTAATTAGGAACAGAGTGGGTGTTGGGATTACAATGATTGCCTTTAACTGGAAATTCTTACCACTTACAAAGCAAGGAAGTTTTTAAATTATGGAACACTTAAATAGTGGATTAATAAGTCAGTAAATACAACTGGATGAAGGTAGACCATTCTCATGCCCTTCAATTGGCAAAATTTTGTAGTCTGATCTATTCCACCAAGTAATTATCACTCTGCCTTTCTAGCCTCCTGGGGGGTCTATGCTGAGGCCCCACAGATTGTATGTGGTAAACTCCAGCGCTGGAACGCTCGGGCCAGAATTTAGGCAGAAGATGGATCAGCTGAAAGCTCTTTGGAAGGAAGTACTGTATGGCCCAATACTCAGAGCAAAGAGTCCTATTACTAACCTTTGCCACTTACACGTGGAGAAAAGCAAAGGAAGAGCTTTTGTTTCTGCCTCAGTTTTTCTACACCTTTGCCCACTGCAGCTGCCACCTGTGCTCCAGGGCGACAGAATAGCAGTTGGAGGTGGTTGGAGGATGGCCTTGGGCACAGGTGCCGCTAGCAATTGCTGGGTAGCCTTGGGTTCCTTAGGCAGAGGGGTCTGCAGCTGAGTGAGCCAATCCATCCCCGCTCTAGCCCACCCATGAACTGAAGGTCTGCCGAGGGCTGAGCTTGGCCTGGGTGCGGTGGGTGGAGTTAATAATCGAATCAGAACACAGCCGCAGTATTTTTTGTATTCTGCGAATACTTGTGACTGATCTATTTAGGAGGAATCATCCGTTTATTCATCAAACATGTAGGACTGTTTGGGGCTACATGCACAAGATGCTCACACAAAGACACCAAATATAAATATGTTGTCTCTTTGAACACAAGTGAGAGAATTCCCTAAAGGACAGATTTCACAAGAGCTTGGGAAAAGCCTAGGTAAGAATTGCTCAATCAGGGTCCAAAGGATGCATTCGGGGAACCAATTCTCAGTTGTCCATAGTGACTGCAGTGGAAGGAAGCGGAGGTGGGGGGTGGGGAGGGGGGGCGATTACTGTGCTAAGTACGCGAAATCCACAGATCATCTCTCAATTCTAGTTTCAGTCAATAGCCGCACGCAAGCTCACTTTCCCCCAAACTTTGGACCTAAATTACTGCCTGGAACTGAATTGACTTGAGCTTTGCTGGTTTCCTTCTGCTGCCCATGGCCTGGCCGAGAAAGGCATTAGTGGCCGGGTTGGGAAGAGGCCCACACAAACCAACTGCAACCTCACCCCGCAACAGAGAGTGTCTCGAAAATGAAGGCAAAGAATAGTCTTCTCCCTAGACAAAGAGTTAATTGATGAATGAGCACTTTTATAAGCTTCAGGGTTTAGAACTATTATCAGTTTTTCCTCATTCACCAAAAGGAAGAACTTTCTGATGTTTTCTTTTATACTCTCACCCTAAGTAACTCTTTTTGTGCCTATGCTTCCACGTCCTGGGCTGACAAGGCCCCTTATAGTTTATTTTATTTGCTTGTTCTCTGTCTTACTTCAGAATGATTTAAGCTGAGGTCCCCCCATGCTATTCGGCCTAAGGGAAAAGAGAGTGTGACCACCCAAACAGACGGAGGCTCGAAAGAAATGAATCAAAAAAGTCCCACCCTTAAATATTATCTTTTCATTAAATTATTGAATTCCCAGTTTCATCAGAACATTCATTCCTTTATTTAATAAATCTACAAATCTCTATCAAGTGCTTAGGATGAATAAGGGTCATATAATTTTAATCCACACCCTGTTCTCTGTGAGTTTCTGGTTAGATGGAGAGTTGGTGTGTGCACAGTATTACGTTACATGACAGAGGGTAATAAGTTCCATGTGTGAAGCCAGGAGAGAGAAAACTCTTGCCACTGGGCTAATCAGGAAAGGCTTCATGGAAGGGAAGGGCAGGGCTCCCGCGGGGCTTCCATTGTGGAGGAATTTGATAGGCAGTTGGGGGCAGGGCATTCC